AAGCGAAAAATCAGACAATCCGTTTTCATAAATTAAACGCTTACAACGTTTTCATATCTCAAAACATATTTTCGGCTGTTTTATTAAACTCCAACCAGATTTGCTTCGCATAGACGGCGCGCTTGTTTAGAAACAAATTTCACCACTGCACCACCCTGCATTGTAATGGTGAAAAATAATATTATTCAGCACCGAATCAATTTGAATCCAAAAGTGGAATATTATAAATGACACGAAAAGGAATGTTTCTATAAAAAGACTTGTGAGTAATAAAAGCTGTACCCTTGAGTAGTATGGTACAGAATACCGTGATCTAAAAACCGAAGAATTTTTATTAAAGCTTGAAGATGCGCGAGTTACGCAACGTACTGTGTAGCTTTATTGAATGTAAATGAGATTATTTCCTTTGTACGATTTGCGACTTATGGGGGGAATAATGGATTACTTACATACCTCCACTGTTTTAGGACAAACTGCTTGGAGTGCAGTACTGCCAAATAGATTAATCAGGTTCTTGGTTTTGCAATTATTTTGATTTACAATTCCAGAGATTATTCGGTATGTACATGGAAATTCAGAATATCGCAGATTCAGATTTTTCTTATATTCACACAAAATCGGAGCCATTTTTCTCTTAGAAATTGCTACCATCAGCGAGTAGAATATTCTGTGTGAAGAAGTTTCTATGTGAAAAAAATAGTGCATTTGGTTTACAAAAAATTTTGATTTAATTAAAATTTCAAATGACTTTAAGACAATTAAGCAATCAGTATTAACGTCAGTAATTAACTTTTTATCTTTGCAATGGTTCCCATTTTATTATCTTGAAACATTTTCATTTTTATCAATTCGCAAATGTTGCTGGCTATAGAAATAAAAAAAGTTTCATTCTTCCAAATAAAATGATGAATGTAAAACTGACTTTTATTTTATAGAAAAGCAAAATGGTGCTAAATTATTGCTTATAAATACCCAGTTATATGTGAGTACGATTGACGCTGGAAAAACTGAAATACTAGTTTCCTTTGCAAAATATGGTTTTCCGATGGCAATTAATGTCGACAAAAGTTAACTCAATAATGCGATTAATTAGTGGTTTGCGAGCGACTAATACATTCTATTGTGTTAAGCGAAAATTTGTATATAAATTAAGCAAACGCAATACACAGCTGCCCTGTACTTTTTACTATTTTCTTCCTAATTTAAATTTAATTTACAAAAAACTGATACCTGTATATATAGTCAATGAAATTTTATGGTAAGAGAGCAAAAACTTGTTTTACTTTTTAATTTTTAAGTCTGCAATATACAAGATTACGATTCGAAACTTTACACTTATAAAATTACACCTTATGCAGACGATATGTCCGTTTGCACAACATATCATTCCCAGGCTGATATGAATACTGAACCGTATTTTGAGAAATCCTCAAACAGCCGAATATAAACCCCAGGATTTTCATCATTAAATTCAAAATCTATATTTAATCTAGTAATTTCAAAGTATCGAAATTATTTTTAATAAATTCGTCTATAAATGGTAATTCCGAAGTGTATTCTAATTCATTCTCTAAACTAGGCGAAGCGAGTTTGCCTGATAATAAATGCAATATTTATAAGTCATACAAAATATTTGAACACAATTGTAGCCCGTTCATCGAAGAATTAGATTGTTGAGTTAAAGTTGATAATGGGTTTTGAGTCTAAATTGTTATGATTGATTTTCCATATTTTTATGTATATTGAAATACATAGTTGATTCTGCACCGGATAATATTTCTCTTGAAAATATCATTTTTAGAAATAGGATTTCCACATTTGTCTCCACAGCAATACTTAATTTTCGACTGGACTTTGTCTGTCGAATTCATCTAACCGTAGACTTCCATTGTTATACCAAACTATGTTAAACAACATTACGTAGAGAAGATTTTACAACTCGATTCATAAAAGTGACCTGCTCCAAATCATTAGCTTGCTGTTAATATAATTTTGATTTATTGGCAATTTCTTTAAATCTTAGTAAAACCAGTTGTTTAATTATTTATTTGCCATTTCTGGCAGCGCACTGTAAAAAACGTACAAACACCTGCAACTCGTGAGAGGCCACATAGAACTAAGGGTGAATAGTGTGAAAAACGACGTTATACTTTGACTACCAACTGAGTTCGAAAAAAATATAAGTTGAAAAAGTACAAACAAACAAACAGTAAGAACAGCGTAGACTTAAAGGCTCTTTCTATAAAGTAAAAAAAACATTTTTACACATGCTCAAAAAATTATTTTAGTGCTAAGTTCGACCGCAAACATTTTAAGAAGACTATTAAATAATTTCCATACGTATTCAATCACAGTTGATCATTTTTCTGAAAGCCTTCCGTTTAATGAATTCAAGGCAAAAAACCTACTAGATTCAATGGGTTTCCTAACTAAAAGCTTGTTTCATAAAAAATTATAAGTTAAATAAAAAGTATACCCAAATATTTATTTATTTCTCTGAGATCAGAAACAAGTGTATTTTTATTCCCAACCCTCTGTTTTATTAATTATTACGTTATCAGTCACATTAAGTCAAAGTAATTAAGTTCAATAACGTAATTTATAATTTTTAATATTAATTCCCGTGATTGTTAAAATATATATGTTTAGGTGCTTTGCTCCATGGTCAATAGATAACGGCAGGAAGTAAAACGCTATTTTCTTGGGTCAGCGTTTCGGTTAGAGTTAAATCATAATCAAGGCTGTTATGCACTCCCCTTCTCTTTTAGAAACAGAGCGGTTTCAGTCTTAGATATAGTAAAATTTAAGAGATAAAAGATAAATAATTAAACGTAAGTGAAACGGGTATGAAAGTAAAATCAATTATAAGGGACAAAAGGCAAAAGTAATACTGCTTAGCGGCAAATTGAAGAACGAAATTAACAAATAAAGATAAAGAATAAAAAAGTTATTGCAAAATCATTAATACAAACAGAGTTATTAAGTAATAGTACGAAACAAAAGGAATCCGGTGCAGGTAAAATCGAATATCTAGGACAAAATACATAAGCAATGTTGTTAAACAGTAAATTGGAGAACAGCAAAACATAAAGAACTTTCCACTTAATACTTTGCCACAAAATAATGGACAAAAATTTGTTTTCAATATATTTAAACAAATAATGATCTAAAGCAATTTTGGATGGAGTAAGCTGATAGGCTATTAAATATCATACATTGTACCAAGTGAGGAAGTAGAAAAGTTAAAAAATAATCTTCATCTAGGGTTACACTGTTTGCGACATTTCTATTAAATTTTAAATACAGTTACAATATAATTAAACTTGAACATTGTATTTCGATGCTTTCAAATAGCACGTATTACGCAAAAAAAATTAAAAACGCAATAAGAAAAAATGATCTTGAAAAACTAAGAATTCTGTGCCTACTTACTTCATCAACGAACGTGAAAAGATTTTCCGTTGTGGTGACATATCCCACATGGTGATGCCCTGCATTCCTTTTTACGGTACAATATAATTACCTGTGCTAAACTAGAAGAAGATAAAAGATGTTGGTGCACACAAATGATATTCACTGAACAAACCTAAAGATCATCTTCGCTTAGGCATCCAAAAGAGGTAATCTTCTTTTTTTTATTTTCTGATTAGATGACAATAGTGGGGTAAAATGTCTACTGAATCTCTAAACGGTGTATAAAAGCTAGGTATACCTTAAGCTAAATTAGTTTAATTGTTTAGTTCAATAGTTAATATGTATCGTATAAGACTGGTGAGTTGCGTTTATTCATTTCAAATAAAAATCCCTCGTTTATTATATAATATTTACATTATATCGCCTGGCTGCAGCAATTCTTATAATATCATAATACCGCGTTCTAGTAAAAACAATAACATTTAAGGAAAACTATATGTTTAGGTTATACAATTTATATTTTAAGAGATTTCAAATCAATCAGATCAATTCAGGAAAAAATATCGGTTAAACCTGAATCTACACCAACAACAGCTCTCATTAGATTTTTTATTTTTGTTTATGACGCAAATTAATTTACATTCCTTATTATTTAAATTGTCTTTTAAATTTTCTGTAACCATTTTTACTGCAGACAAAGCGACTGACTCTTTAATAAGAAAAAAGTAGATCTGGTGACCTTAAAGGCTTTTTGATCAGATTAGATATTATAACATTTTTAAAATTATTTTCTCATCCATTTTGCCCATCTTTATTTATATGTCCTTCTAGTTTTCTTTCCATTCTGTTCAAATATTGTCTGCATTTATACGAAGATCCGTCGTTTCGCGATCTCGCCTAATAACTTTTTCAAATATTTAGAAAATATGTTGGAATCCTAAAAACCTTTCGTAATTTTTAATTTTATTGCTGAGTTTACATGTGTTTAGTCCTTCTTATTTATCTTGACCAAACGCTTCCAGCCTTCGTTTTCTTCGTAAAATAAGCTTTCAGTATCAGATGAAATCGCTATTTATTCTTTCCCACGACAGCTTAAAAGCCAAAAAAACTCTCATCAGTTTCACGGAATTGGAATTGGTTTTGAGCAGCCTTTTTGTATATAATTGAACATTTCATTAATTTTTATGTTAACGATATTCGGTCGTAAAAGCTTTTTATTTGTGATTTTCCTTTCCTTTAATATTTTCTAAATTATTATGTTAATTTCAATCATATTTTGGATAGTTCATCAGAATGCTTCAAAACCGATGTAACTTGGGCATAAAWAAGTCTATTTACAGTTACATTTAGTAAAATGGAATAAAAAACTTAGCACGTAAGTATAAATTAGCGGCATACAAAATAAGCAGTCAAATTAAAGAAGCTCTAAAAGATGCAAAATTAAAATCTGGATTTCAAGGTCTTTAAATATTTAAAGACTATATTATATATCTATATAGATACTATATATATATTATATATCTATATAGATACTATATATATATATAGATACTATATATATATAGATACTATATATCTATATAGATATGATATTTCATGTAATTGACGGAAATTTTCTAGAGGTATGTCTGATCCGGAAATGAATTATTGGTACACTGTCAAACCTTGAATGCAATAAGTAACACAAATAAAAATATTGTAAACAACATAAACCAAAAAAACTGCTAGATAAATACGCAGATTTCCGTATTCTAGCAGCAGAATATATAAAGGATCTGTTAAAAATGACAGTGGATATTAATGAAGAATATGAAATAATAACCATAAAAACTAAATATGATAAATAGAATAGAGATAAATTCCATAACATCAAATGTTAATCTCATGTTAAAATGGGATTCAGCAGAAAACAATTTAATAATTATTTAGCAGAGGTTAATTCAAAATTCCTGTGACTTGAACAAAAGAAGAAAGTTGTATAAAACAGTTATAATTTTTAAAACGAAAATTAATCTATAGAATCTGCGATTCCGTGCATATTGAAAAGTGAAATATATATATATATATGTTGATTACCCAAAGTATTAAGTGAACGTCAGCTGCAGACAAACGAACCAAAAAATTTACAATGTGAAGGCAAAATATTTATGAAACTTATTTATTTTACTTATTATTTTAAAAACTTATATCATTGTTATATATGCCGGAAGGACACAACTATCAGTACAATTGAATAATTCATGAAACTAGACCCTAAACTTGTGAAAAAATAAAATTTGTGAACGTAAACCAGCTCAATTAATAAAAGTGAAAATAAAACAGGTTCAAATTGAAAACTCACAAAATAAGTGCGGTACGATTGCAAAAATAGAAGTAAAATTTCCATGTAGCTGTAGATGTAGCTAGTATTAAAATAGTGGCAATTCAAGAATTACAAAAAATTTTACGATAGAAAATAAAACTTATTTGGCTTATTCTATACAGACTTAGCAATAGAAGCACTTGGTGAGTTTGAAATTAAATATGTATTAAATCGCGAATATATTTGGGTTCCAAAAATGTTTTCTATTAGATGCATAGTTTTGTTGACCTTTCAGTACCTATTTGTGTGATAGTAAAAGTAGATTTTAAAAGTATGAAAAGGAAGTAACTTTTTATATAATGAGTAATTTCTGATAACAATGATATGTGCTAATAATAAAAGCAAATGATTCCAAAGAATTAGAACTTTGAATATCCATAAATATCAACCTGGGCAAAATCCACATAATTTAGCGGATTTCAAAGATTACCGGATTAATCTGTAAATAGAATTGCATTTGAATTGTAAAATCATCCCAGTCTTTCATTACGATTTTGCTTCAATTTAAAGTATTGCCTCCGAAAGCTGTCCGTCTGAGAAATAAGTAGTTTAGTAGTAAGTTAAGTAGTGGCGCACACACGTTAAATCAACTTTGTTGTATTTCTCATAGTTTCTGGTGGCCCTTTTCTTGGGATATTGTTCCCCAGCTCGATTGGACAGCACATATCTTCCCCCTGGAGCGAACGGAGCTGGAGGTGGGCCTGGAATATCTCCCCCGTTTGGTGGTTCAGGAGGGCGGCCTGCAATTAATGGTGGTGGTGGGAGACCGGGTGGTAAATTGTTAATGTTTGTCGTAATAACCGTAATATGACACATTTAAACATATTAAGTAAACAAAATGATGACATAATTGCCATACCTTTTCTGGGATTATAGTCTTAAAAAAATTATATCATCCAAAATCTTTTAAAAACATTAATTTTTAAGTTGAATTGAGTTTTCGTTTGGATGTTAATGAATACCAAAAAGCCCTTCATTACTTTGTTGGAGTTAATGCAATCTTTCCATATTACGTTCTTATGCAATTAATCCCTTTTTTGAACACGCTTTACATCAAATATTTTTTCATCAATTAGTCACGCTGTTCTGTGTTGTTTGTTTTAATGCTACCATACATTCCAGTAAACCGGAGAACAGGTAAATGTCTACAGATTCAAAAACTTTTGATTTGAATTACTGCTCATCAAAAATAATGGGAAAACAATCAGAAATCAGGAGACCAATCGATGTTGGTATAGTTAATATCAACATTTTTTAACTACTACAAACTTCTACTAACATCAAATTATAATAACGCATTTTTCATTGCTTGCAATTTATTTTCTATTGTATAGATGTTATTAATTACCGACTAATAGAAGATAAGTAGCTCAAACTACACTTTGATATCATAAAACTAAAAATAATATTAATTGTTCTCAAGATTCTAAAGGTGAATCAATCTAAATATGCATAACTTTGCATAAATTTCTAACAGTTAGAATTTTAAATTGCAATAACTTTTAATGGGTGGACAAAGTGGCATGATAAAATAACTGAGAATGTTCTAAAAATTGCTTGCAAATAGTGCACTGGAATGATGCGAAAACTTATTATTTGTATAATAATTACAATTTAACGAATTTAACATTTATAGTATTTCAGAAAGTCAATCAAGATTATATATTATTTTCCCTAACTACTTATATGAGGATCTCATATTTTTGTGCAAAATTTAGTGGCCTGTTTTTTCGACCGTACAAAAAAGTCACATTTTGAGCCAAAATTTCGTTCCTAAAATGTTTGTGCTGCATATGCAATCACCTTCCAGAGATAGAATAATATTATAATAGAAAGTTCTCACATTATCTTTATGAATTTCCTTAATTCTTTCCAGCTCATCCTACTATATTTACTCTCCCTTATTTCTGCCGTCTCATAACTATATCACTTTGTGCAGTTGCCTCGTTCATTAGTGAATGTAATTCAGAGTAAATCGTGATAGGTTGAACCCTGTTAAACTCATCGTCCGTGTTTTGTGTGGCAGTACTTGCAGTAAGATATAGGAGTTACGAAAGACCAGAAGAATATGTTAATAAGCATTCGTGATTTGTATTGTCTTAGGATCTTCTTCTGCGCATATTTAATGTATTTTTCTTTACTTACTGGATTAATCAGCGTGAATATGAATTAAATATTGCACGCTGCCTAAATCAACATTCAGCTTAATTTACAATATCAAATGATAGTGTTTAAACATTTTTTGTCGCTTGTTTCTTAGGATCTATCGTTCCATTTTCTCTCTTTTTACTTTGTAATCGGTATTTTTGCCAATGCTGGTCATAGACAGGAAAAATGTTATAAAAAAATTATAGGCCAACATCAAAAATTAAAAAAAAATAGTAGGTAGGTACAATTGGACTGGGCTCATTTACCACAATTGGCCTCTTCGTCTTTTCATATGCAAGAAAGATTATTATATTTCAAATTTACAGCTAATTTACAGCAGATTTACAACTAAATTATAGATTTCTATTTGAGATTTTCCGTACTTATTCAAATTTATTTAGGCAATGGAAATGGGGGACCGCGCCCGGTATACGGGGCACCTGGAAATGGTGCTGGTGCTGGAGCTGGTGCGAGTGCTGATGCTCAAGCGACAATTATTTCATACGAAAATGAAAATGATGGCAGTGGAACCTATAAATGGAGGTAAGAGCACAAGGGAAGAAAACGTATAATACAAAAACGCTACAATTTACTGCATTGCTTTGAATAAAAGATGATGTCTTTCAAATAGAAAGATTTAAATTACTTGTAATATTTACTTAAAACAATCAGTTTTTCAGACCTTGTTCATCTTCCATCTTCGAATACAAAATATTAATTTAAAAATTTAACAAAAATGTGTTGAATATTGTTACACACAGGGGAATTAAAAAATCAATCGCTATGCAAGTCGTCATTCTGTAACCGGTCATGGAATTAGAATAAATATATTGCTAGAATATAAGTTTCTTGGTTAATTTTGTGCAAATTTACTTTTGGAAGTTAATAACGCCAAAATATTCAAGACTTCAAAAATAACGCATTCATAGACCTATCCACTTTATTAATTTTTGATTAATTTTGAACATCGGTTTGTACTCCTTGAGCATTCCATTGATATTTGAGGGACAATTATTGAATTGAACTCTGTGACTTATTTTGTCATTTTAATTATAAAATTTGTTAATTAATATATTGATAAACAAAGCAAATGGAAATAAAGCAAACGGAATACGTTTCAGTTACGAAACAAGTAATGGAATTAAAGCTGACGAAACTGGAGAACTGAAAAACGCAGGAAGTGAAGCTGAAGCACAGTCGGCTGTAGGATCCTTTTCTTACACGGCTCCCGATGGAACCGAAATTAAAATCGAATATACCGCTGATGAAAACGGTTTTGTACCCAAAGGTAAGTTTAATTTTTTTTAAATATTTATGTGGCTCACTATGAGGATGTAACCAAAATTCTATGAAACTAGATTTGTTAATAAAAACAATCGATTTTTTATTAATTTCTGAAAATTTTTCTTGTTTTTCTGTGCTCGCTTGGAAATTGAACTTTGAATCTACGCTCTGAATCAGTTTGAACATGTTGAATAAATAAACGTAATTTAAAAAAATAACTCTCGGTAAATCGTCGCATGTCGTAAGTACACTAAACATATTTGAAAATTAAATTTAAAAAACCTTCTTTTCCTACCTAGACAAAGTAATGTTCATTGCTCTTATCCTAAGATTCCTAATTGTGCAGCATTTTAAAAATATATTTAGTACTTTATACAACTGTACCTCAAGTTCTTATATTATTGTTTCATGTTTCTTAAAGTACCTACGATGTTTGGCTAGATACTTAATTAGTGCATCAAATACCTGTTTAATTTCCTTATATTTACCATGCTTCATTACGTCTTTATCTTATTAGTTGTTCTTAGAAGCTAGTACAGCTGCAGACCTTGTAGATAGTCAAATAAGGTTTCCGGTAGCCAACGAGCAAACTATTTCGAAACGCATTTTTTTTATTTAAACCAAGCTGATAATCGAAATAGTTCGAAAACAAGATTTTTCTAATGATTATGTGTTCGTTATTTAATTCAAATAACAAACCGTTCCTAATATCAATTTTCAGAAATTCATACATTTATATTCCAAAGAACATTTTGATTTTTATTAATAAAATCCTATCCTATCCAGGCATATTAACATATTTTCAGCCTCTTCATCAGCGGCTCATTTTCTCTCTGATACACAGTATATAATCCGTTTTTTTTGTTAGTTTTAAATATTTCCGGCCGTTTTTTCTGTTTATGTTAGACCCAATGATTAATTGTGTTGCGGTAAATTGTTACTTTAGTTCATGTTATTTTCCTTTCATTTTTTTCATTTAGCTTCTCTCTATCTAGTTTACAATAAGTTGTTGTCATTCCGTTTATATTTCCTACTTTTCGACCTGTATTCTCCATTGCTCAGGTTTTTGGAGTTTGCGTACTTCCATTTCTTCCTTCGTTTAAGTTTCTGTTAGTATGGTTGTATCTCCATATTTTATTATCAATTATTTCTTATTTGAAAGTTTTTTGCCACTTTTGCCATCTGTCTTAATTTTTCATGCGCGTGTTTTCTGGCTTTGATAGATCACCAATGATCATCTTTTTTTTGTAATTCTTCTCATTTTTCGTTAATTTAGTTTTGTCTCCCATTCTAACAGGGAACCAGTTTTGATCATTTTTTGCTAACTAGCAATTGCTGGGCTTTGCATTATTAGAAATTAGATGCGTCTTAAAAATAAATCCATTAACAGTAGAATTTTATAGAACATTCCATTAATGCAAATTGGACTCCTGGGAAATATAACAGTACCAAAATTAAATTGTTGCAGTATTCCTTCACCTCCAATTAGTATTGATAAAGACTATATTGTTATAATTGCAGGTGATCATTTGCCAACTCCTCCTCCAATTCCACCAGAAATTTTAAAATCCCTAGAAGACAATGCAGCGGAGGAAGCAGCTGGAGGTGGCAATGGAAATGGATATCCGTCCTCTGGTGGAAATGGTAATGGAGCTGGCGGTGGCAATGGATATAAATATTAGTGGTGAGAATTTCGTTTTAAAACACAAGAACACGCATCTATTTTCCATTTTGCTTCAGAACGATATTTTAAAATGGATTGGTGGAAAGCCGTATTGTCTCATCTACCAATCATAAGTGAGCCGATGCCAAGTACCATTTATACATATTATTTAGCTTTAATTTATAATTTTTTGTGGTGCCTTTTACATACTTATATCTGCATGTTGAATCATTAAACATTAAGCAACCATTATATTTTTCTAATATAATATGTAGGTATTGTTCAGGACATCGACACCAGATATTTCATATTAAGGGCAATGGTTTGAAGATCATAATTACGTTGGTTTCCGTTCAAATATACAGTTTTGCATTCAAAAACTCAACCTTTTTACACCTGCATTTCAAATTCAGTTGCAACCTGATAATTTGTAAAATAACAAACCATTGAAGTGCAATAATTTTTAATATACATAAGTCTGTTTAGTTAGAAAAAGGCAGACCGACGGGACTGAACTATAATTTAAATAAGTCACTGTCTTTGATGACGACCTACCGCTATGACATGGACAATGAGCTCTAAATTTAAATAATCAATGTAAGTTTGAGATTGTGATTATACAGGCATTTGTAATGCCTATTTTTGACACATTTTCAAATAGTTGTAAGATGTTAGCTGTATAGTGTATCATGGCTGTAATTTTTAAAGAATACATTTATTATTATTCAGACTGTGTTTTCTTTTCTATATCTAATATTTATTTTGCTTCAACCATTTTGGTTTGTTTGTTCAACCATTCATATCTCAGTTCCAGTCAACAATTGATGCCCTCTATAAATTAACAAAGGCAGCGCTGACAATATTTGAGAATAATAAGAAAACTCAATCAGTATTATTGGACTTGGCACAATTATTTGGTACGGTATCTCCTGATATATTAGGCTTGAATGTCTTCAAAAATTACCGCAGTGATAGAAAACAGTTAGTAATTGCCGATAATGACTGAAGAACTTAAAGTTACTGTGCTCGGTGCCATTCCCCCGGTGCATTATTTACGTACATAATTTGCTTGCTTCTCGAAAATATCAATAATGTCCTATGCAGTAAGATAGAAATAAGATCCCAGCTATTTTTTATGGTCCAACTTGGGATCATCAACTATAGCTCATGCAGTAAATGGGAATACAAAAATACAATATTGGCTCTACATTTATCATTCAATGTAGCCAAAACAAACTAGACTCCTTGTCCTGGAGTGACCTGCAGCGACTTAATTTCCATTCTCCATTCCTGTTGTCAATGTAAGATCATTAAAGAAGTGGTGAAACCGCGTTTGACGATGGACTTTTGGATATACGTATTACGGAGAAAGAAACATGTATTTTTTAGGTTTGCAGATGTATGTCTTTTAGTGAATGAAGAAAATATGTTTACGTAAATGTAAAAGTTATTTTAACTTTGATTTGAGTCACATATACAGATAAAACTCTCGTTTGATTGACTCATTTTTTGTATACTCTCAAAGTTTAGTGCGATAAATTGCAGTTTTGGCCCTTTCGTCAGCGAAGAGGGCAATTTTGGAGTGGGCTTTTTGAGCATCAGCTGTGTATAGGTAATAGAGAGTTGGGTTGAGCGTTGAGTGGGGGATTTTTCTTCATTCAGTAATATGAATGTAATGTCAGAAATCATTAAGGAGTGCTAGTTAATCACATCTTTTACTTTTCAGACCTTTTTAAGTCTAGTAGTGTTCTACGCAATCGTTGGTAAATCCATAAAACATTTTATTCTTCTTACATAAGAAGCGCCCGGTATTTGTAGAGGACACAAATCAAACAAATGGAGTGGATGAATTGGAAAATGCGAATTGGGAATCAAAATATACATTTATTAAATTGTTATACAGCATACATGCAGTAAGTTACACTCTTGTCTAATATGGACAAGAGACATTAAGTATATTATCAATTTTTCACTGAGTATCACATTTTTATTTAACAATTGATTTGGATCGAAACGCTTCATTATGGGTAATAATAAATTATACAATTAACTTCAGGAAACGTTGCAATAATTAATAAAACGTAGCTATGACAGAAGCCTACCCATCTACACGAGTAGGTGCTCACTGCTGGAATTTAACAAATTTGGTAGCGATTTGCATGTACTGTTGCTTAAAGCATCAGTCTTGTACAAAGACAGCTTCCTACCATCTGAAGGGCATTCAATATCTAATGCTACCCAGGTTTCTCTGTGTGTTAAGTACTCTTGAGATTTACTCAGATCTTGTTTCGGACTTTCGCACAGATCTTCTACATGAACATCCGCCTTCTGTATGGAGGAAGCACAGCTTCCAAACGGTTTTTTCTGTTTTTTACATTCGTTCTCGAAAATATAGCAGATCTGCACATCACTCTGAGAATTGGAAGTGGTATCGGAAGGAGGAACATCGAATTCTCCAGAAGTAACCACTTGACTCAGGACATTCACATGGCCGTTTTCTTTTGAGCTTATATAGTTTGAGTTTGGCGATGAAGAAATGGAAAGCTGTTTTTCTGGAGCATTTTGCACTAACATTACCCTGAAATTGAAAATCAAAATCATCATTCAATATATGCATCTAAGTCGGAGTTTCGTTATGAAACGATTTGATGGATAATAACATTGTTGAAATCTCTCCTAGAAAATATATACATATATCAAAATTTCAGAGTTGAAATTTTACGATTCATATGGAGAATTTCATCCAGGTCACTGTGAGATTTTACAATTGCAATTAATGCAAAAAATACTGTTAACATATAACATTAACGAAAGTAAACTGGGGCTGTAAAGTGGGACGCAATATACAGGGTGTTCCGTAAATATGTTAATATATTTTAACAGCGTGTTCTCCTAGTCATTTTAGAGGGGGTCTTTCTGAGAATTTTTTAAATTTGAGGTATTTCATTTCCAAGATGGCGAAAAATATTAGTTTTTATTGTTTTTCTTTAAAACGGGTGAACATAAAAACTTCAGTTTTGGTATACATTATAAGCTAATTGCGTGCCATTCTATGGTAGTGTTGGTTCAGTTTACTTTGATAAAAATACGTTAAAGGGTAGAAAGGTGGCACCCCTACTTTTGTTTCGTTCAGAACTTTTTTGTGTGCACCTAAACTTTTATCAACATATTTTTTTATTGCTACAAGATGTTTATCAACTTTTTTTAAATCTCTTATTGTTTTTTCCTAAGGGCACTAGTTTGCCCGCAAAAAATTAAATTGTTTCGGCTTGATCAAAACTTGTCATCAACCAAGTCATTTGATTGGATGTCAAGAAGCTCCTATAAACTCGCCTCCTAGATCTCCCGATCTAAACGCGCTTGATTTTTACTTACTACTACTGGGGCCATTTAAAAATACGGTATATTCAACCGAAGTGAATACAATCGAAGAACTTCGGGAATAAATATTTAATATTTCTAAAGAAATAAGAATAAGAAGTGCAAACTTTACGGTCTGTAAATTTTAATTTCATTAAAAGACTGCGATTATGCCAAGAATGTCAAGGAGACCAATTTTAACAGCTGCTAAGTTAACATTAGTATGGTTATTTAAATTTAATAATTGTAATCTGAACCAAAATACACAATTTAGAAAAATAGTTTAGGTTGTTAGTAATCAACTAATAATGCGTACCAAAATTATTATATGAAAAAATTATTTAAAAAAATTAACTTAATTACTTACACATTTTGAGAACGGCAAAGAAAACGATTTTATTTTTTTGCGGACAAACTAGTGGTCTTGGGAAAAAAAAGAGATAAAAAAGTTGATAAATAAATTGTAGTAATTAACAAAATTATGCCGACAGAAGATTAAGTGCACACAAAAAATTTCTGAACAAAACAAAAGTAGGGGTTAAACATTTCTACTCTGCATAAAAGCAAATTGTACCACGATACACTATCATAAAATGGCACTCAATTAGCTTATAATGTATACCAAAATTGAAGTTTTCTATCTTTAACAGTTTTAAAAGAAAACAAGTTTATCAAAATTAAAAGATACATTTGCCTAGAATTAATTTCCTATTAGGTTTTGGCAGATTTTAGGCGGCCCTGTATTATTGATTGTGAGTGTAGAATACGACTGATAAAATAGTGATTATTACATATTGGACGAATCGTCAAACCCATGCATGAACTGTTAAAAAATGTTTTTGCAAACAAGAATCATTTAAAAATCTACCCGCAGTACATGTTTTCCTGTAATAAATGAGATGGGCGACAAGTGGCATCATTTACCGTTTAATAATAAATAAGCAGACCAACTATTAGTTTCATTCAAAATTAATTATTTTCTATCTGGACAGAAACTTGTTCCCATGGGACAAAACGCGACGAAAAAAATATTATGTTGTGTTTTATAAATTTACAACCGAATCCTGGCTTAGAAAACCTCAACCAGAAAATGTGTTTAAGTTTATTTAAGATTTTGTTCCAAATTTACGAATTCACTAACGGAAGCTGATTTGCAAGCGCACATAAATCATTCAACACATAGAATTAACGGCGAGTTATCGAAGCGAATGATTAAACCATAAATTTGTAACTAATAAAAGTGATGCTGATATATGGAATTCAAGAGCTCTGACATAAACTTTTTTTAGTTGCCACTAAATTAAGTAGTACAAATTAGTCATTAGAAACGAAATTATAGTGTTTGTACGCTTGATTATATCAATTATATCGAACCCTGATATAGCTGATCAACTAAAGTGGGGAAAAGCCGTTCTGCTTTTTAAGAAAAAAATAATGGACAATAATAAAAAAAGCAGTCGAAATATTTTCAATTTTTCGTGGTCTATAACTGAAACATGTTTTGTCCTATTAAATGCAAAACTAAAATAAGTCATATCGAGACTTACTAAGAAGCTCTTAAGTGTTTCAGATTTATGTTACCGCACTTTATTGATTTGTGGCAGAATAAATATTTATATAATCCACGAGTTGAGCCTGGGCCAACTTAAAATCCATACTAAACATATTAAATCTTTTAAAGTTTTTTAACCTGCTTGTTTGCTGCTGTTGACGTCAATTGTGACGCCTGAATTTAATTGATTGATAGAGAATGAACAAGTAGAAAAAATAATCCAGATAAATGTATTTGATGATGAATATGAATACAAGAGCAAACAATCTCACCTGTTATGAGCCTTCCATCTTGAAAAGAGACCTAAGTACTGCTTACACTGAATGTACATAAATACAGCGCCCCCTGTAAATCCTACAGCAACAACAACTAGTTTTGTCCAAAAAGGCCATGCTGTAAAAAAATTAAACATATTTAAAGATTCACAATTCTAGTGTATTAAGGGGAAACTAGTAAAACTTGTCTACTTTTTTACTAGCATAATTACACAATCATCTGTAATTTGTCAGTTATATAGTTTAGAGCTTACGTAATATTTAAAATCAATATATGTATTTAAAGGATCAATCAAATATTTTAAAGTGAGTACAGTGTTTTATTCTAATAGGTTTGCGATACGGTGTTTATGCAGCATTTATATGCATTAAAAACTCCATACAAGTTGTGTCTTGGATTCAAATTTGTAATTGCGGTTTTTAAAATGCATTAGCAGGTCGAGTATTAATCAACATTATCCCATCATAATTAAGGACCTGTCCATGTGTAGGTGTACATATTAATTGCCCCACATTTAAATTCTCGACTTTCCATTAATTACAAAATTTTACATAAGAGTCAAAGTTTGAACGTATTTCTTATCTGTAGAGCAGGTATTTAATAAAACATATCAACTTTTTAGTTCATTTCGACAATACTAAACTGCTCATAGGCCCGGACTGGAACTCGATAAATTCTGATTTCCGCGAGCAATTTGATTCCTGTTTAAAATATTCCTTAGTTAAAGTGTTTTTCTGTTCGAGTTTATGCAAAAATGTTCAGATAGTTTCTACAGTTACACAAAAAAACGCTTTTTCAATTTCAGCACCCAAAACATCAAAATAGACCTTTGCCTTATATTTACAGAGTGACCTGAACTTTTTGGCCGAGCAAGATTAACAATTTCCCTTTGAATCGCTTTACAAAATCTAACAGGCTGTTAAACCTAAAATTTCATAGTCGGTTTCAGATAAGTTAACAGTTTCGCATTGTTTGGGATACAATAATTTGCCAAATCTGTGATTCTGGCAGTCTTTCAATTAAAGTAAAGGTCACTCTCAAACACTCTGTTTATTGATACACCCCTGAATGTTGGATTTTTGCCCTAAATCTATTATGAAGTTGTAGCTTCAAAAAGTCAAGCTTTTAGAAACCGATCCAAGAGAAAACATGTTATCACTACCGAACCAAAAAGTTGATTTTTCTATATCACCCTGTATTTAAAAGAAAGACGGGAGAAAATTCAAAACCCGTTTCGAAATATGAGGTCTATCAATGTGCTTTTGTTGTAGGAATGAAAAAAAAAACATTTTTCTGTTCAACAAGGAGCAGGTGAAATTTTCAGAAATTTTGCATTGTTTTATGTTACCCTAAAGAAATGTTGTTTAAAGAACTTCAATTTTGCAAAAATACGGATTAAATAACACGCCAAACAGAAACGAAATTGTTCGCAGTAACCCGAATTTATTCAGTTCGAAATTTAGGACAAACTTAGCTGCTGTATAACGTTTATTTTGTTAACATATTTTTCAATCTTGATATTGAATGATTTATTTACTTCCACCATTTACATTCATTTAAGACTAAAGCTTTTCCCAAAAAAATCTTGAACTTCTATATCAGCCATATTAATTATTATAAACTTAAATTAATAAGCTCCAATTTTTTGTTAACAAATATGTATCTGCTAAGACAATAACAATAATCTGCTGTAAATAATTTTAAAAATAATAAGTTTAAATATGACTATCTATACTAGAAACACAAGTAACTCATTTGACAAAATAGTTTGTTTGTTGGCGTTGGCGTAAAAGTTTTTATTGGCGTTTTCCTCCTTCATTCATCGATTCAGAACGATTTTCAACGAGAATTACAATAGTTTCAAAATAAATTTTAAATACATTTTCTGTGTTAATTGTTATGATTGTAAAAACGTAATATAATGCTCTTTAGAGTAGACTCATTTCTTATTGAAAATAATAAGAGTAAACCAATTAATAATTTTCTAGCTATTGAATGTAAAAAATATTTAAAATATCGGTCAAATACAAGGCCGAGTTGGTCTTTGGCATATAAAAGCGCGTAACATTAATGGTTTTGCCTTGCAGCTTGAATCGTCTAATTAAAAAAAGGTAATCGTTGATTAATTACTTTTATTGAAAATATGGGGAAACTTTTCCAAACAACATTTCTCCTAGCAATAAACCGTTTATACTAAGTATATGGTATTCTATTCATCGAACAGGATCAAAGTTTAACTGTTCTACCTACCAATTAATGACTGGGTATGCGTCAATGTTGATGGATAGCAGGAAATTTTTCGGGTTTCATTACTTCAATCTCTTCTATTTTTCTGTATTTTACAACCACATTGATGTTTTTACGGGATTTTAATCGGTGTAAAAAAGCATGTTCCTTTAAACTGGTGGCCTTTATGCTATATTCATAAGGCATCCTCAGGACTATTAGATGTGAGAGTTTACGAGTCATTGGGTTGGATACGGAGTAAAAATATAGTAAAAACATATCATATACCTAACATCATTGTAAAGCCGCCCATATTGTGAACAGAGTATGTAGTCGAATAAACAGGAAAGTATAAGAAATAACATACAATTGGTCTGAGGACGTCTAAATAAAAAAAGTTAGACGTCGGCAGTGTTAAGAAATATGCCTTTCTTTCACACCGATCCAAATTCTGTTGAGAAGCAAACAATATATACAGCATTCAAAACTCGAAAAACAAAAATATTAAGTATAAATAATATAAAAATACAGACAGCCATTCTGGTAAGGTAAAAGTAAAGTACTTACCGATTATCCCTTTCTGTATTTCTTCTGCAGCCCTATCAATAAGGACAAATAGTGACCAAATTACGCATACACCAGCCACAAAGTGAAACATTATGGAACAGACAAGACGTCTTCGCTCCACACTGCTCATTTCCAAAATTCGCCACTGAAAAAATAGACAAAAAAACACCTTTTATACAGTCAATATCTGAACAGATTGTTAAATCGTCTATGAAATCAATAAAATATTTAAAAGAAAAAACACATTTATCTTCAAGCATGTTAGGTGTTTGTTTATATTATGAAGTTGAACTTCTATAAATTAAATTCGACAAGCTTACTTTGAATTACTTCAAAATGGGCAAATACAGGGTGTTTCAAATAGTTCAAAGTTTAAAAGCTACGTTCGCAAAAAATATTCCAAAATATCATCGTTTGTAGTCAACAAATAATCAGTTTGAATGAAATGTATGTTTAATCAAATCAAAAATTTTATGAGAAGCTATAAAAAATCATAAAGCAAACGTACATAACACACGCTTTCGAGAAGAAAAATGACCAAAAACTGCTACTTTTTCAAGACGAAATCGAAGAAGATTAACGAAAATCAAACGAGACGAACAACTGACGAACTGAAAAAAAATTTCCCCGACAATCGACGTTTGTGCTTGACAATTAATTAGACTTTAGACTCAACAAAAAGAAGATTCGAGTGAAGAATAAACCAATAAAAAACCCATTCAAATTGTTTTCGGAACGCGCTAAACGTAGCAATAAATGTCTTCTAACCCTGAACATATGAAAACGTATACAAAAAATAAGCGCACTTACTATATTACTTATTATACTTATTTTCACTCATTTTTCAAGTTTTCCGAAGATTTTTGCTTTTAGCTATTTTTTTGACGATACTTAGAGAAAAACTGACGGTGCCAATTCAAACTGATTCAGCAGCTCAAAATACGTAAAAAAGCTTTAACTGACAATCGTTTTTTACGACAAACTAATTAACACGTTATTTCATATAAAATCAATGGGAAACTTGATGTGATTTTAGGGACGTGATAAATCGATTGTACAGTCCTATTCCTTTTTGGGCAGATTTTTTAGAGCCTATAGAAGAGATTTTCATCCGGGGACAAAGTCCCAGAACCAAAAAAAATTAACGTCTGGTCTAGTGTTCATTTACAAATTGCTGAACTGATTTTCTGAATAATCCAGATTATTTTTCAAAAGATCTACGAATTCGGAATAACCGAAGTCTTCCAGCAATCGAAGTCAAGTCTCGCCAGTCAGATTTCCAAACATTACTTTTTGTGGATGTGTATCCGCTTCGTGGAATATACGTGGGTTAATATCGCACAAATATATAGAGTTTTGACGCTTAACAATACCATTTTAAATACTTGTTTCACCAGAAAAGAAGTTGAGAATAAACTTCTCATTTTCAGTCGGTCTTTGAGCATGAGAGCACAAAACTGTAGGTGGCCTTTCATTTCGTAGAGATAAAATTTCAATTATCTGAAAATTTTCCTAACGCGCTCATTTCACTGGAAATGACAACCTTTTAAGTTAAGAATTGAACCAGTATCTCTAAAATTGTGAATTAGTGTAATCCGAAAATATTTGCTGCAGTAAAATAAACCATTTTTGACAATTAGATGATAAATTCACAAGTCAAAACCAAACCAAATAACCAACACAAAAACATTTAATTAGGTTAATTAGGTTTTTTGGTGCATTATTTATTTCTAAGGTTCATAAATAAATATTCTATTTACTCTTTAGTGGCAAAAACCCTTTAATTTTATTTAGCACCTCCTATACAAAAATTTAAGTTATCACTGCGTCTAATAGTGTTCAAATATCTAATAAAAACAATTTTCTCCTTTCGCACTGAAGTTAATGTGTCCGAGGCATTTTTGTATAACTTTTGTATCATCCGAGAAAATAGCTATGTTTAGTTTTAGTTGGCACACCCTGTATAATCCACAACAAATACTTAGTGTCCTACTAATTATATTGTGTCAAAAATAATTCAAGCAACTAAATATATTATTTGATCAATTAAGTTAAAATTCGCCATTGTCAAGAAGCTATTTTTACATTATGTTATAAAAAATCAATTAATTTTTTGCGAGCAGAAATTACGTAAACACTGTTAATGGATCTCTGAAACATGGAAAATGGAACACTGCTTAAAAGTGTCAATAAATAAAGAATTAAAAAATGTTCTTGCAATGAATTAGATAATATTCTTGCATTTGCACCTATATTACAGAATTTCGTCAATATCTTTATATAAATACACACATGGCGCGATGGATGTATCCTTAGAATTCCAGATATATTATTTGACTTATGGGCGCGCTAATATGTATATTAACAAAACAGGCGCACCGGCAAATTATTTGCAAATAAAATCATATAACAAGCCGAGATTATATGACTGATAAAACTATTAATGTTTAATCGCTTAATGCGAATTGGCAATTCATTTATGATATGGTATGTATTTTTTTCCACTACACATGTTGGCATCTAAACACATATTCTGCAATCAGTGAACCGAATGTGTTACTCAGTAATTACCTTCTAATCCTTTATCTTACATCCAGCCATTTTATAAACTTTTATTAAATTATTGCTTTATTTCAGGAAAACTATGTTTTTGTTGAACTGAATAATAAAACATATAAATAACTTACGAGACGGGTTGAGTTTTATTATCTAACCATAAAGTTAAAATTTAATCTAAAATAAAACTAATGAAAATGAAGCAGGAATTTACAAAACTCTTATGTTGAATTAATATACCGCATCTAGGCGCTCCATAGTCAAAAATAATCAAAAAGGCTCAGAATAGAAATAATCGTAAGTAGAGGGCTAACGAATGCATCTCCCACAACTCAAAATAGAAGTGCATTCCAACATAAATATTTACCACCCATTATTGCAGATATTTAATTAATTCGCTAAGTTCGTTAAGACAAAACTTTCTGTCGTTTTAATTGCGACTTACTTATTTATTAAACGAATAATTATATTGTGCTCGAACGGTCCGTACATAATATCATTGAAAAATAAACATTTTAATTTCAATGTAAATATTCTACTGTAAAGAGGGCAAAAATGCGAAACAATGGAATCCTATCCACAGTTTATGTGGCCGCATACTTGTCAATACGTATATGGCGCTCCAGTTGGCACAAAACAAAACATATTAATTACAATGTTCCTTTTAATAATCACTATTTGATTAAGAAATGTGTTTACTTTAGTTTAGGTCAATATATGAAAACAATTCGATGTATTTAAATGACAAGCACTCAATGCAGCTTAGAGCTTAAAAATACATAAGTGTTAAAAAATGCAATAGTTAGTTAGAAAGTCATGCTTTCAGGTAGCATTTAGGATAACTACCGTCTAGCTAAAACGTTAAAAGATTAACGGAAACAAAGGATAACTAAAAGAAGCACTAACACCATAAAAATGTCTGCATCAATTAGATTTTTCAAGTAACAATTATCAATGTATAAAACTTCGACCGATAAATATATAGTAGAATTTATTTGCAGGAAACAAATCAAATAGTTATTTATAAGTGGCAATAAAACACTGTGTGGGAAGATAATAAATGTGATTTAAAATCGGATGGACGATGAATTTTGGTTCTAAAGTTGGCATAGATTGGTATCTCTAAATAATACACTATTTATGTTCATGCCTCAAAAAAAATTATATAACTGAATAAGCGAGAATGTTTTAGCTATTGTAAGTTTGAACACAAATTTTAAAATTGCGATAAGCATTAGAGAATGTATGTGGAAGTGACATCCTCAAAACTAAGTTTTAAATGGGGGGTTATTAATACGGTTTGTACAAACATTGAAATATGTACTTGCAAAACAAGCTCCCATATTAAAATATTACGTATTATTTCACCTTGTCACCTTGACCAAAAAACTGAACCATATTTCTGGCACAACCGTCGAAAGCTGTAAGTCCTGGCAACCGATCAGAACATCTGCTTCTTAATATTTTGGCAAAATTAATGAATGTATTACTTACACAGTCTTTATAAATAATTATATTTGCCTTGTTAGTGCCTTTAGTTGTTATTTTTGCGATTATTCATAGTCCATCATTAGCACAATCGAAAGAAAATACTTTTTTTCATTTGTAATGAACTTTCACACACACACACACACACACACATTTCAATTTACACACAAAAACAACATTATTTATGTATTCACTGTACCAAATAATTATTCATTTATACTTAAATAATGCTCTGTTATTTAGCTGTCAAGCTGGTTAACAAAAACATCATCAATTTGTGCATTAGCTTCCTTGATATACGATATGGCAGATTTAACTTAAAGACTAATAAATCCTTCACTCTAGGGGTTGCTGTTATTGGTAGCATACGTGAGAATGACAATATTAAGTAATGTTTCGGGTTCTAATTGCCAAAAAAATAATTAAAAACAGTAAATTGAAGAATTTTATTTGCACTTATCGAAACAGCTATTGGCCCAAAATGTAGCTATATATCTTCCTTAAACAATGGGTAATGCAATTTCAAACACAATTTAATAAAATGCGCTACACAAGAAAATTCAGAAGAAAATCTGTGTATTAAGTGTTGATGTAAATAGAAGATGTGAACGAAACGGTTTGCATAACGCTATCGGTGTTTCAGCTGGAATAAGTGCAACCAGAAGAACATTTGTATGGTTCTGAGTCTAGCATAACGCGGTAACTTGGGATCTATTCAAAATAATCCTACTTGGAAAATTCTATTCAAAATTTAGTAAATTTAGTTCTCAGTGTCGATGGTCGTGTGGCGGCTTTAATTAGTTTGCGCTAATTGCTTTAGTATATTAATGCTAATGAAAATACAGGGGTACCTAAGTACACACAAATCATGGAATATTATCGAGCAGCAGGATCATATCCCTTCTTAGCAAGAACATTAATTGTAAATTCATAAATTCCTGACAGTCAATAGAAGACGAATATTAGCCATATCAAATTGCTTTATTTCCCCAACTATTTGCCAAAGGTAAACTGGAATGGAATACATCAGTTGACTCGTGTCGAGGACAAATACTCGACATATTCTAATATTTTTAATTACCATTTCCAATCTACGACTCTAGGGCTGCAAATAGTCAACCTCACTGGGTTCAAAATTCAAACATTCAAAGCTGCTTTAACGACGTTACTAATATAACGCGTGCAAACTGTAGCCATCAGTTTGCTAATTTCAAGACAGAAAATATAAACGTTTTTTATATGACTATCGCTAATGGATTAGCGATTAAGGCTTACAAGAATCAAATAGTAAAATTAATGGGGTATCATAAAAGCCGGAAAAACCCGAATTGAGGTAACTATCACATTAAACGTGAATGAGGTATAATTAATGACAATAGATAACGATTTTCAGAATAGTGTTATTGAGAAAAAAATGAGTAATTGATTTATATAAATATTCATGAACGCCAAAAGAAACATGAAGTGAACAGCAGCATTGAATTTTAAGAAATAAAAACTAATAATTCCCATGCAGTTGTTCATGTGGGCATTTGTTCTATACAACGTTTCAGAGTACCTACTTACTGTATGGTAAGAACATTTTTCGGGAATTTGAAAATGTTATCTTAATACGTGCATATGAAAATCGAGTTTAATCTTTAACGGTCGCAGATATAACAAAAATAAAAGAACCTAAATTTCGTCGGTATTTAAAAAATTTACAATTGCCCACTATAAACAAGCTACAAGAGGTGACCCCTAAACGCTATCGCTCCATAGCTTGATGTAAGTTCTAAGACGTAATCTCTATTTTTTAACATTTTAATTAAAAACTCAAAAACTAGAGGACATTAACATTTTTTTTCAACATATGGTAGAATGGAAATGAAGCTTGTGTGGACCCTATATGTTTAGAACTTTTATCAATAAAATAAGCCAACTAATAGTAATAAGTAATAATTCTTTCCATTTGCGTATGTTAGTTTAAAATTAAGAATTAACTATAAATGAGACGCCCTGTAGATGAAAATAAGTGTACAAATGTATTTGAGGTTTTACGTAAAAGTTAACTGTAACTGTAAACTTAAGGGTTTTCTACTGATTTACATCGATTGCGGGCGATCTTTATCAAATTGTATATTGCATTTTACATAAAATATTTATTGCAACCTACCCGGTTTCTGTGTAAAAAGAGCTGAGTTCCAAATTGGAAGCATTTCAACAAATCGCATTTTTTGAACTTGTAATTTCTTAGACTAATTTTGGAAAATGTTTCGGTGTTTACACACACAGTTTTATAGAACATTGAACATGCATGTGTCGTAAATATTACATACAGAATTACTTAATTTTAAGTTAGGAAAATGACGGAGGTGAAAAAAAAAACGTAACAATAAGTGCAAAAGTTTTCTTAAACGTATCACCGCCATACTTTCCTTTCCAACATACAGCGTGTTGAAATGTTAAAATTGTCTGTTTTTTTCGCAAACTCTTGCAGTTTTCGAGCTATTTTCCTCAATTTGAAAATAATTTCCTCTATTTGAAAAATTGCACATCGTGCAATACGCTAAATAGTTGTTACAATCTACTGGGTGATACTCGCTTAGGGGTCATGTACCTTTTACCTCTCCGCATTTTTTGTAGTGCAGATATCCAGAGCGTTTTTTCTTAATTTCTTATTAAATTAGTAAACTTTCTTGTCTCTATTAAGTATTTCCTTCGTATCTGCAACCGTTTTTTATGTTATTTGCTAAAATCTTAATTACTTAATATAAATAACTTTGGCCAGTATTAGAACGACGCCAGAAATGTCTCGCTTTCAACAAATAAAAAAAAGACTCTGTTAATAAAATTGGAGGTGGATAATAACTAAGTAACTTAAAGTGTTAAAAGACCGAAAACCAAAATAATTTTGTTTATTCAACACTTTACTTATAGGCATCTCGATAACAAACCGTTTTCAGGTTTTATCACCCCTTTCACTTTGAGTATTAAAAATTGAGTTGTGAGTGTTTATAGCCGGATAAATAGAAAGTGAATCATCTGAATGCATTAAACAGTAAATGCACGAGTTGTAAATGGTCATTATTCGAGAATGTGGAAAACGATTAATATTTTCCACGTAGGGTATCAGAGAATTAAATGAATGAAATTTGCACCATGCAGATAATATATGAATGCCATTCGGTTGGCAATAACATATAAATGACTCGGGAACATGTGCATTATAAATGGTCTTTGTTTAAGTAAAGGAAAGTTTACTTACTTCTGATAAGGGTTTAATCTTTGTATGTAAAATAAAGTTAAATTTACACAATTCACAGGAGCGTGTGTCTGAAGCAGCAAGCCATTGTCTGAGACAATTCTGATGCACGTATTTTAAACTGCCCGCACAATAACATGGAGATAACAGTGGATTTTCCGCATCTGCTTCACAATGACAAATTCTGCAGATATCTCCTGAAGAATTGGAATAGTTGGAGTCTGTATCACAGTTTGATAATTCCTGCCGTTTCACAGAGTCAGAAAATGCTTCCCTTGAAACTACACCGCAAGTCTCTTTCACTTTAATTAATTGCTCCGGCATGGAATTGCTGGCAAACTCAAAGTTTTCAAATGAGAACTGTTCCAATCAGGAGCTGAAAGATTTTCACTTTGTTTTGTCACCGAGTTTTAAACATAATTAAGACTTGGCGAGGTTTCGGTTGAATTACGTGACGTTGTGCGTTGCTAAGTGCAGCAATTTTCGACACTAAACATCGCAAGCTATTGGACTGAGAAAACGGTGAGTTTAGGAAAATTTCTAGTATTTTTCTGCTCTCAACAAAGCAAGGAAGTCAAATAACAACTATACTCAGACCTTCAAACATCAAACACAGCTGATTGTCAAAGTTATTACTAGTTTGGAGGGGATAGCGCGTGCCGTGTTGCACGGCTGTTTAAAATTGTACCAGTTTAACCAAATCTTCCAAATAAGTTAAACAGATTTTAAAGAACAAATTCCGGAAAATTGAGTAAATAATCACACAAATTCGCTAACTGTCTACAGAAACTATCTTTTAGTTTAGTTAATTCAAGCCTCGATCTATATATACACAAAATCTGCAATTCGGCCAATTGAAAAGGCAATTTAATACAATAAAGCAACAACGCCGCGCATGCTGTCTGTATAGCCTACAAAATTGAAGGCTTTAGTGATATCGATTTTGGCAATGACGACTTTATAAACAGTGGTTTATATGGATTAGATTTGTTTAACTACAAAGTATTCAATCCTAAATAACTATAAACAAATAACACAACATGACCGAAGTTCGAAAGCGCCGGGAATCTGACGGAAAATTGTTAGAATCCGCGGAATCAGACCACGTAAGTACAAGTACATATTTGCACATTTCTTCATACAACATTTGAAATTTTCGGTTTATTTCACTGTTTGAGACAAACAAGAATCATCTCTCAATTCACCATATTCAGCTTTTGCACAAGTTGTTATTGTTGCATCCCCTAGATTTATAATTTTGTTCCTAAGTACTTAATTTGTTTTATACCTAAGTAAATATAAACATACATAGAATACTGATACCTCATTTAGGTACATATATTTACATTTTTCTTACATTATACATTTTGCTGCTGATCAACAGGAAGTTGAAAGTCTAAAAGTTTTTGTAAGTAAGGGGCATATCACATTCATTTAATGCTCTACAATTTGTGTCATTTATACGGTTTCCTAATTTGTGAAATCATTTCTGTTATTTGCTGCGTTTATAATGGGTCCAAGGGAGAACTATCTAAGTAATGTTCTCCACTCCTGTAATAATTCTCCATATATGAATTGCGAATCTAAATTAAATTTCAACTTTATGCTGATAAAATGCCCTCTCTTTTAAGGGTTCGCTTTTGTGCCATCTCTGAATATGCTGCCCCTTTTGTGTAACACACAAAATAGTTAAATTGCTTGCCTGCTGTTCAAAAGGAATTAGTATAAAAGAGCAGATCAGATGGTACTGGTTTCAGCGTACGGTTGTTTTTTTTTTCGGGGTGCAAAGCGAACTCCCTCAGGTAAAAATGGCATTGGGCAAAATGGCACCAGCTGCTTTCAGTTTCCAAGTGTGCAAACTGCAAATTTCTTTTTTTCTGGAAAAACAGTTTTCAAATGAAAGTATATAGGTATAGAAAAAAAAACATATTTGTGCCTTCATTGATAGGTCGTTCCCTTGCTTATGGAAAGTGAAAAGTAAAAATTCTCGCAATCGCAATGCTAAATCATATGCGTTTGATGCTTTGGTAGAAAAAATGCTAGCTTGGAAACCTGAGGCCAACCGAAAATCTGTAGTGAAAAAAATCAATAATTAAGCCGTTCTTCCCGGAAAGAACTAAAGAAAGCGTTGAAATCAGATAAATCAGGTGCCGGGAATGTATATGTACCTCATTTATGGTATTTTGAACAGTTGCATTTTTTAAGGGACTAGGAAGTTCCCGGCGTACACAGTCAAACATTGATCAGATACGGTCAAATGATATTTATTAATAGTAAAGTCTATGTGTTAATAAAAAATATATTTCTATATGCAAGCTTATAAATAATTATTAGAAACCATTGCGTGCTTCTAGTTCAGTTTTCCAAAATTATTGAAGTATATTTTTAATTGTTCCTTTATTTTCTGAAAAGGGTGATTAGTTTTATCCAGATGTCTAGTATCTCAATACTAACACTGCTAGTATCTCTATTCTCTTGGGCAAATGAAGGGTTTGTTTAAATAATTTTTTTTAAACGTTTTGCATACTTGTGTTTAATCTCTAGTACCAAGCTTTGTGGAAATTTTGATTCTTTACCATTTAAACGCATAATTGTTTTGTCAGTTGTTAGAAACGTTTCCATGAAGGGGATCAAAGTGGAGCATTTTCCTAAATGCCAATTAATAGTAGCTACTTAGTTTAACTTTTGAATGTAAATACTAAAAAACTGTTATATAAAGAAAAAATAAGTCGCTTTATTACGAGCACGGGCACCCATCATATAGACTGTTTTTTATGTTTAAATATAATACACACAATTAAGTAAAGAGATTCGGAATTTTTATCGTACTTACGGTTGTTTCATAAAAGACTTGATTTATTTTAAGGCTATTTTGATTTTCTTCTATATTAATTCAAATGTATTTTAGAGTGTAAAAAACAAACGGGATTGATTTTTTCATCGTCATTTTTCATCGTTTTAATTGTTGTTTTATTCTACAATCTTTACGAAAAAATAATATCTCGATCTAGAAACATTTTTCACAGAAGAAAAAATTTTCTAATTATTAAGCGACGATTAGATACTGATGTGGATCGACAGATCCCACACGAACAAACAGCGTTTGTAAAGCGAAATGAAAGTAACACTTCTCAACTTGCGACAAATCATAGAAAAAATTTTGAGAATTCATTATTTAAATGATCATCTAATTCTTGCATTAGTAAAACGCCGTTGACTATGTAAACTGCAAAGTATTGTGGAATTTTTTTTGATCTGGGAACAGCGCAAAAATGAAATGGAGGAATCCAAACTACGGACAAACAGATTAAATACTGCAACAGAAGAGAAAATGTCGGACCCACTAAACTGAGATAAACACAGATCAGACCAACGCGTAGAACTGAGCAGATTCAAAAGGCTACAGACACTTCGTTTTATGTTCAATTATTTTCGAGTCTCTTTGTGAAGAATTGTACAATATTTTATTAATGTCGACGTTTGGGTTAGTTTGGGTTGGGGCAAATGGGGTTTCCAGACTGAATATAGATCCAGCACATTGTATTTGTGTGTAATGTTCTAAAGTGTTCTAATATTTTCATGCTAATGCTAATGCTGCTTTAATGAGCGCAAATAAAAAAGTAAATTGGGTAGAGTTCATTGAATAACAGCTCTAATACACTTGTTCTTCTAAAGTAAACGAGAAAATAAGGTGGGCAGCAAGTAGCACTCAAGCTTGTTTGAGAATCCACGTTTTTCATTGAAATAACACTTTGCCCTTTCACAGACACCAAACAAATTTTTCACAACATTTTTTGTAACATAAAATTTTTCCGTACACGCTCWTAAAAGAATGCATATTATAAATTACAAACTTTTTGTGTTGATCAGTGATAGTAAGAAAATATTCTTAAAACAATTTACAGTCTACTTTGTTTATGTTATATGTTTACATTCATAAGACGATATTTATAATTATAATAACTATGATACATATTTTTCCAGATTGACAGTGAAGATGACAGATTCAAATCAGATGCAGACCTCTCGAATACCATTCCAAGTGGTACCGATAAAGCGCCAGGTGTCTTGGAATGGTTGGTCAAAGATCTTCCAGACAAATGGCGCAACTGGGCCGTTCGAGCCATTTTCAGTCTGATAATGATTATCTTCTTTTCTCTTGTGATATATGGGGGTCCTTTGGCTTTGATGATTACAGTAAGTTGAACGAATCGTTACTAAATTTCTGTTTACAATTGAGCCGTATGCTAATAGGATTCAAGTATGCAAACAAGTAATTAATATTAAGTGCGTCAATAGCGCAAAGCCTAACTATCGAGATCGGGATATAAATAGTCTAAATCGCAAATAATTCCTGCTTCGAAGTCAATTGCCACTAAGTATAAAAATAATTAAGAAAACGTGTTCAAGTTTTGAATACCTAATCACAAAGCTATTACAGAAAAACCTCTAGTATGGAAGTTTGTTGTATCTCGCAATAATTAAACACATAACACTTTACATTTTTAGATATCTATTTCAGCTTGATTTATAAGCGAATTATAATGTTGTTTTCAGACGCTGGTAGTTCAAGTGAAGTGTTTCCAAGAAATTATCAACATTGGATATGCGGTTTATATGATTCACGGACTTCCATGGTTTCGATCTCTTTCCTGGTATTTTCTACTTACCTCGAATTACTTCTTTTATGGAGAAAGTCTGATAGATTATTTTGGAGTTCTCATTAACAGAACTGTAAGTATGCCTCGATTGCACCGTAAGTTCTATTACGCCTAATAGAATTTATTACTATATTTAGTGTTGTGCCATTGATATTAGTCATTGATGGTAAATTCTCAAATCGGATCGAAATTATTTTCACAATATGGTTTGAAGGAGTACAATGAATTAAAAATAACAAGACCCGACTAACATTTTTAAATATAACGAATAATATAACACCAAAATTTGTATTGTTGTTTTATTCAATGAGGACATTTGCTATATATTCGATACATTTTGAAAATGTTTGCGCTTGCGGACAGGAAATCCTTGTTTAGCTGAAGTTATACATTTCGAGTTTGCAAATTAATTTTTGGCTTCTATAAAAGTCTCCTAGAAAATAAAATGCAAAACGTATTAAAAAATGGTAGAAACTGCAAAGGATGCTTTTCTTTTCATACTAAAGCTTATGTAGATTGTATCCCGAGTGAAACAATTCTGATAGATTGTTTTTTAATTAAAGTGTTATTGCTTAAATCTAGTGGCACATGTGAACAGTAATGAGGTGTTAATATAATATGTATGTGTATAGATGAATAAGCAATTCTTAGGCCGGTATGTTTAGTCGATCTTTTACGATGCGCCGGTCTCCCGACGTTCGCAGGTGGCAATTTTGGTTGCACACCTGATCGGTTGGGCATCTGACGCACGCGCAATTTATGTTGTTGGGCGATGCGGTGGGAATTTATTGGAGATGGGTCTAGGCATCTAGATAAAGACAAGTTTTGTCAGTAAATTAATAATATCACCTCAAAATCGGACGGCGGCGGCCACCACAATAGCCATATTGCGCATGGTCATTCTATGGGAGACTCGTCGGCGATTTCATCTAACGAAGAACACCTTTGCATCAAAAGCGCGTCGCCTTCGCGTTGACGGCGGCACGCTCAGCTATCCGCCAAAACATCTGGCAAAGTTCCGAAGATCGACTAAACATACGGGCTTTAGGAACTGACTCGAGAAATTTATTTCGAACATCGTTTGTATCAACCACATTAGCGAATTATTTTTCTTATTATTTCTTATTATTTCTTTCGTTTGTAATATTCTTTAATTTTTAGGATGGCCTGCCATTTTTGGTGGCATATCACCGGTTTATCTCATTCAGTCTGTACTGCGTGGGCTTTGTATGGTTTGTACTTTCTCTAGTCAAGAAATACTACATGAAACAGTTCTCGTTGTTTGCGTGGACGCATCTTGCCCTGTTTATTGTGGTCACGCAATCATACCTGATAATCAAAAATATCTTTGACGGTTTGATTTGGTTCATAGTACCCGTATCAATGATAATATGCAATGATATCATGGCATATGTATTTGGATTCTTCTTCGGAAAAACTCCATTGATTAAGCTGTCTCCCAAGAAAACGTGGGAAGGATTTATTGGCGGCGGAGTTTCGACTGTGTTCTTTGGTTTAGGGGTGCGTATTGAATGTTTTTCCATTTTGTAAATTTATCTACTGTAATAGCATAAGCAAATCGATTTTTATCACATCGTGTTCAATTTGATTTCGCAGATATCATATGTGATGTGCCAGTACCCTTATTTCGTCTGCCCCATAGAATATAGTGAGGCGTTGGGTCGAATAACTATGGAGTGTGAACCTAGTTCACTTTTCAGACTACAGGCGTACAACGTGCCCACATGGATGAAATGGTTGAACATGGTATGTGCATATGTATTTTCTTTTTTTAGTTCAAATGTACATATACCATGTGTTATGTACATACGAAAAGGAGTACTTCGTACTTTGTGATCAAAAAAATCATATGGGTAATGATTCGGGTGCGCTTCGGTTCCGATATACGGGGTGCTTTTATTAGTTTATGTCGAAAAAAATTTGATTTAACTGAAAATGCAGAAATCCGCCATGGCAGCTATAAGCAAAAATCGAAACGTTGGATTGGAAATATGACAGTCATTTATGTGTCAATTGTTTTCCATTATCTCTTCAGACAACCTCAGAAAAAATAATATAATAAAGTATACAAATTTTTTGAAAATCCGATTTATTCAAGTGTTGAATCTGCATTTATTGCCGCAGCTTAGCACCAATTTAAGCAATTTCGTGCGTTTAAGCAATTTAAGCGATCAAATATCTGCGCAATGATTGTATGAATGATGAAGCAAAATTTACTTGCCGCATGATAATAATTCTAAGGGTCTGTTTTATTTCTGTGAAACAAAACCTGATGCGAAAAAATCTTGTAAACACGAATAATGTTTTTCTAGTTGCTTTACTTTAAAAAGGTAACAAAATTGTGAAAAACTGTTGAACATTTGTCGGCCAATCAACTAACCAATTTTAGAATATTTTGTTGAGGGAAGCAACTGAACCAAAAGCTTTTTTCACTTCATTTTAAAAAACGTTACTACATTACTACGTTACTACGTACTACATCTACATAATAATGGGTCGATCTTATTCCATGGATACATTATGTGGTCCCAAATCCTAAGCATGATTCGGAAATCTGTTACCTAATTAATAAAAAAAAATTACTACAAACTCAGTTTTTATACAAAATCTAACAAGTTGCCTTGGAACGTGCTCCTTGCAATACTATATCAATGTAAACAAATCAATCAATGTTTCAAATGTGCCTAATTCGGTTAGCAAGATAGTGCGAACGTATCTTTTTCAAGTCAAAATCTACCGAAGCGTTTGTTACCTTATAATAAACTATGTTTTTTTAACTGTTTCTCCAAATCGCTCTGTATCACAAAAACGGGCAGTATTCGAGCATATTAAGCAAAAAAGCCATTGTATTTATGTGGCTAAAAAAATTGTTGGGGTATTTTTGGAACACCCTGCATTTTTCAAAAACTGCAGGACTTCAGGAAATGGCTAAGAAGTCTTGGAATTGAAAGAATCTTTATATCGAAACAAATAATTTCCCTTTGTCCATAAAATATGGGAACACCTTGAATTTAAGTATACAAAAGCTGCCAGGATGCGTTTTTCTAGCTGTATTGTGCATATACGAAAGCAGAAAAATCGAATATGCCGTATTTTTCTAGTTTGGTGTTGGAAGCACCGTTCATCTCTACCCTTTTATGCTGCATTCCCTATCGCTATCTCTATTTAGCAGTATTATTGGCCCATTTGGTGGGTTCTTTGCGTCGGGATTTAAGAGAGCATTTAAAATTAAGGTAAGTCGTCAATTGTTTGGCATTCTCTTTTTTTATCATTTAGAAAGTGTCAAATATCTTGCTTTCAATATCAAATATGTTGATAAATTTCATCAATTATCTGGGTCTGCAGTAACACAGTTTTTTATTTTTCCTCATGACGAAGCTCCATATAAATATGCCGGGTGACGATAAAAAAATGACAACCAAATTGTCACGAATGTGATATGAATATTTATTAAATTCTAGTTTTTATTGTTGAAAGTTATCGGCAGCGTTTGGTGCTCGGGCTGAGTATGTATAGTCAAAATAGTTTTTAATTGTTCTTTGTTGATAAATTTAGTTTCTATTGAAAATGAAACATTGAGTTTTAAGTTAGAGGTAATTTTTTATTGTCACCCTGTATTTTCGTTCTTCACGTTGAATGAATAATTCTAAACCTTGGGCTACGAAAAGGTGTTCTCCTTTGAAAGGTGTTCGCACAAAATTGAATATAAAAGTTTGTCAATACAGGAAAATCGCTTGTTTAACTTTTCAATAATTAAGTTATTAAACTGATAAAAATCTTGCGTGGGGTATATAGGTTTTGTCATTAAATTTAACGTCGCGCTATGGCTAAATATGCGTGTATCCATGTTTAGGACTTTGGAGATGTGATTCCTGGTCATGGTGGTATTATGGATCGTTTCGATTGTCAATTTCTCATGGCAACATTCGTCAACGTCTATATTAGCAGTTTTATTCAAACTGATAGCCCTCAAAAGCTATTATCGCAGATTCTCTACCTAAAACCCGAACAGCAGCTGCAACTCTTCTACTTGCTAGAAGATTCGCTCCAAAATAGAAACATGTTCAATGCTGCTAATTAAATAGGCTTTAATTATTCTTATATTTTATAGTGGATTCCAAAGGTGTATTTATTTTTGTGCCATGTATATATATATTTTTTACATTTATGAGTATTATTGAGATCAACGTTATATTATGTAAAGCTATGTTTTTGCATCTTATTTACATGATAATAGATGTTCTGGACTTGAGGTTGTCAAATTAACATTTTAAGGTAAGCTAAAGCTTCTAATATTTACTTGTTGGTACTTACATTTAATTATAATGCAACCTTTGATATAATGAATATGAAGTCGGTACAAGTTTCAGGTATCGATACATTATTGGATTTGAAAAAGTAAGCTCGAATTTTTATTACTTTGCTTCAATTTTCCAAAGGAATGTCCAATAATCGCTCGATAGCAGAGACTACTAATCTCTGTCGATAGTGGCATGATTACCGAAACATTCATCTGCTTTTTAACTAAGTTAATAGAAACATTTTAATTCAATTCAGTGTTTAGGTATTTGGCTTGTTCTGGATTAGTTACATTGTGCTGGGAGCACAGTAGTTTATTGTCCGTTTATGTCTTATTTTTAACATGTCTTAACATTTTGAAAACTGTACTATAGTACTAATAACAGTAGATTATAAACCATATGAGAAAACCAAAAAAGAACAAAGCGAGAAAAATATTTTTTCTCGTTTTGTTCCATTTACCATTCTTTTACACATGTAGATGTAAAATATCCATATTGTTGTGTCTTAATTAATAATGTCAATTTACTTGTCTGACTGCTTATAGTAAATTCAATAATAATAATTAATTATCATGAGTCATTTTCTCAACGTAAAATCAGTATTTTCAGTTCGCTCCGATTTTATGTGAATATTTTAGTAACTAGGGCATATACTTCATTATCTGGCAATTATAATAAAACCAATTTTAGTGTAAAAATAAATAATTAATCTCTAGTATACTGCTAGACTCACACACAGAGTTTAGTTTGTTTTCGAGTGACTCTACTCTCGAAACAGCTGTGGCTCACTTGAACGGCCAGTAGTAACCTTGCTTAACTCCCTATGATTTTTAAATTTTTTGGGAAAAAGTATTTATATTTTCTGGGTGGAAGTATTGTTTTTAAATGTACCAGAAATGGTAGGTGGTTTTATTGCATTTAAGGAAACATCCAAAACTACTCTTACTGAATTTACTGAATTGGTTAGAGATAGGTCATAGGATCCACTTCTATACTTTATGAATTGCTGACGGGAGTCAAACATTTTGGTATGTTTCAATCCACTATGCTTATTTTTTTAACATTCCGCAAGATATGTTGACATTTTTTTTATTTTCATAATCAATTAGCCGGGATAATAAAATTTGGTAAAGGTAGCTTTTTATGGATTAGTTTTGGGACCAGATCAAGGCTTAGTGTTTATGTTCTAATATTAAATCTTTTGCCATTAGATTAGTTTATATGATTTAGTAGTATGTACTAATAAGTGTTTACCTTTATATTAAATCGTGTTATCACTTCCTGAAAATTGTGCTAAATTTTTAACTTTATACTAGTTATTTATTGCAAACATTGATAAAATAAAGTGATTATTAGCACTAATATAATAATAACTAGTTACATTTAAAAGAGTACTATTTAGTTTACATCCTCAAATTCCGCCAATATAGACAATTACTGTAAAACGGACGGTTATGATTCCAGTAAAATGCTTTGGCATAATCACATGAAGTAGACGTTGGTTACGAAAGATGCTTTAACTCTAAGCTTTAAATCAAATCAAATCAAATTATCCTTTATTGCGACAGAAAGCATATTTTTATTTATTTTAAAGCTTAGAGGTGGCTAATGGTAGCATTTAATATTAATGCACATAATAACAATATCTATAATCGGAATATGAATGTTTTAGTCAAAAAATGTTAGCTTTCACTTATCTTTCCAATAATACATATTATAATAATAAAATAATTAAAATTATAAAAATAAATAATAATAAAAATGCTTTAGAAAATGTTTCAGGTTAATTCTACATGCTAAAATAATGGTAGAAAGTCATCTAACAAAAATTCGAAATCTGAATATTTTGCGAGTTACAGCTCATCCAACTATTTTTTTTACGTATTCTGAACATTTCTTCCCGGTTCAAATTGAAAATCGGTAAAGAGTTTTATCGAAGTGATCTCTAACTTTCTGATCAATTTTTTTTCCACTTTGCCTTTAGTTGGCACTTTATGTGTAATCCAACTTTCATTTTCCGCATATGTTTTATGAAACCAAGCCAAGTTTCGCAAAAGGGAATATGCCATTGTAAACATTAGAAAATACTGGACAAAAATTAATTTACTCTTCACACGACTCGAAAAACCTCTTCGTTTAGGAGCAAATCGACAATAAAGTTTTTATTACTTCAACCCAGTGGTCTTGTATTTAATTAGACAATTTATAGTAATTATTGTACTTCAGTTTATACTAAGTTTCTGTGCTGTAAAACCACTAGATTAAAATTGATTGGGATGAGTTAAAATGTTGCATTCAAATGCAGCACAAAAATTTTGTCTAAATTGAAGGGTAATACAATAATTACTATAAATTGTTAAATTTGACACATTTTAAAACCAGACGACTTGATGTGCTGCGATTGCAATTAAATCCAAAAACTTTGATGTTGATTTGCTCCTAAACGAAGAATTTTTTCGAATCGTGTGAAGAGCACATCTTTTATCTGGTATTTTCTAATGTTTAAAATGGCATATTTCCTTTTACGATGTATGGCGTACCAAAAAAGATATGCGAAAAATGAAATTTGGAGTTCATCGTTGTGGTAATCAAGTGCGATCTAGTGGTCAAATGGAGACACGGTTTTTTATCAGAAAGTTAAAGATGACTATGATAAATCTTTGTACCAATTTTCAATTTGATTCGCTAAGAAATGTTCAGAATGGGTCAAAAATTAAAAGAAAAAACATGAAATTTGATGACTGAAACTCGAAAAATATTCAGATTTCGAATTTTTGTTACATGACCATTATTTTAGAATGTAGAATCACCCTTAAAAATTTCCTAACGCATTTTCCGAATACCTTGTATATTATATAGTGCACTTTCAGATTACCGAATTCAAATACGTGTGAAAGTTTACGACACAATATTTTTAAATGTTCTTCATTTGGTGAATCTACCGACGCACAGTATCACATTTTCTTGTTTTGAAATCAAATAACTTTAGATCTAAGGGATGAATCGTGGTTATTTTTATCTAAATGAAGCTTTGGTAATCGGGAATCTTGGAAAAATATTAAATAACGGCATTTAAACATACATAGATCAGGGAAAATTGGTAAAGTTGATAAATTTTGGAAAAAATGGAAAGAAAAACTTTCAAGGAACGTTTATAAACTAATTCAAGTGAAGTAAAAATCTAGTATATTGCAAATGTATTAGGTTTACAAACTATGAATATATAATATTCATTAAGATAAAGTATGTCTTATTAGATATTTGCAACATTT